TGCAAATAGCAGCCACTGTTATCATAGAATCAGAGCCATAGAACAGCTCAAGTTGGAAGAGACCACAAAAGATCATCTGGTCCAGCCTTTTGTAGGAAAGGGAGTCTAGATAAGATTATCTAGCAGCCTGTCCAATCAAGTCTTGAAAACTACCATGTCCCTGTTTCAGTCATTGGTTGTTCTTACTGTGAAACATTTCTTTCTTATACTGAGATAAAACTTCCCCCAATGCATCTTGTACCCATTACCTTTTGTCTTCTACAGGTGGCTCCTTGTGAAGAGAGAGCCTCTGTCCTCTTTGTAGCCGCCCTTTAAGTACTGGAATACTGTGATGAGGTTCCTCCCACCCAGCCTTCTTTTCTCTAGGGAGAAGAGTCATAACTCCTTCCATCTTTCCTCATAGGGCAGGTTGTCCAGTCCTATGTCCACATCTTCATTGACTTCCATTGGACCCTCCCCAATCTGTCCACATCTTTCCTGAAATGAGAGGACTAGAAAGGGACAGCTCAGGTGTGGCCTGACAAGTGCTGAGTGGAGAGGGATGATCACATCTCTGTCTCTGCTAGTAATACTCTTGTGGATGTAGTCCAGGATCCAATTTGCTCTTATTGCTGCAGCGGCGCTGCTGAGCCGTGTCCACTCCCAAGTCCCCTCCAGCAAGGCTGCTCCCCAGCCACACAGATCCCAGCCTGTGCTGGGCTTTTTGGTTATGTCATCCCAGGTGCAGGGCCTTGCACTTGTCTTTGTTGAACTTCATACAGTTCTTGCTGGACCACTCTTCCAGCCTCTCCAGGTCTCTGTAAGGTGGGTCTTCTTCTGACCTGTCCACCCTCCCATGCACTTCAGCATCACCAGCATTACCTTTACCCAAGCCATCCTGGGCACTGGCAATAGACCTTATCAAATGGGTTTCAGATACCAAAGGTCTGTGGGTTTCAGGCATTAAGGAAAGGCTATACTCATCCATATGCACAGCTCCTTATACTGCCCTCTTCACTCTCTGGGTTTCCCTATGCTGGTTGCACTGAGGCTTCCTGGGAGCTGTTTCACACCAGCCCCAGTTGAAGGTGAGATAAGGGTCCTTCAGCATACGTAGGCTCGCTCTCCAGCCTATCCTGCTTGCCAGGTGAACTCTTGCATGCATGTCCTACAATCTGAGGGAGATCCCAAACCTCACAGAAGGGATTTGTCTCTATCTCCACAGCCTGGAAAAGTATCTATTGAAATGGGGAAAATAATACTCCAATTGGATCCACAGGATTTCAGCTCCCTCGAGGCAAGAAGACTTTGTCAGCTGGGGTGCCATCTATTACTAAGTCTAGGATATATCCTGTGGTAAAATTTGAACTCCCACTACCAGCAGCACAACTTCAGTGCCATTCAGAGCCTTGCTCAGGGATCTGAAAGCCAGACATACTCAAAACAAGCTTGTCTTTTCTATGAGTTTCCATTCCCTCCTTTTGCAATGCAGAAGAATGTCACTGTCCCCACTGAGCTGTGGTCCCAGCTGGCACCACACCCTTTCTGTACTCCCTAGCAACTTTTCTTCTTGCCCAGGTTTTTGTATAGGACACAATTTATCATATTTCTTTGTGTACACTTCTCAGGCTTTCCTTAAGCATTTTGCTTATCTGGAGCCAAGAACTCCCATTCTGTTTGCCTGCTCCCAGACTCTAATCTGCGGTCTTTATGCAAACATTGGCACCATCTCCAAGCATTAAAATCCAGCAGATTTGCTGCCACTCAGAAAATACTGGCAATACCACTGGGTTCTCCATGTGGCTTTAAACATTCGTCCTGCCTTTAGGTTTTTCTTCCCCCAAAGAACCAAACAAAAACTCCAGGGAAGACATATGAGTTTTTAAGATTATCTGACAGTGATAAAGACTATGTCAGATAGAAAAGACAGTGTAAACCAGTCTTCTCCCTCTGTCTCCACTGTGATGTAGGCTAACATAGAATGTAGTCAGCTCTCATTGCCAGAACAGCAGCCACACAAGGAAAGGTATCTTTGTTCACCTCACATGTAAAATGCATCGGATCAAAATTGTGAAAGGGACTGTTTTTCCTTATGCAACACAAGTCATGAAGTTATTTTCGGGAAGAGGGAAATGAAATCTGAATTTAAGGGGCACAAAACCCAAAATATTGAAAGACATTAGATATAATCCCTGTGCACGGAAGCTTGGTGTATACGTGCATATCTGGTATGGAAGGGGGAATAAGAGAAGGGACACGAGAAGGTAGAATTAATGAAAACTGTCATCCTTACCAGATGTAAAACACAAGAATTAAAGGTGATCCAGTTGTGTGGCCAGACATTGGTAGTGGTGGAATATCAGCTTGACAGGGGTGTATATATTACATTAAGTACTAGGACCAGAGACATATGCACCCCTGTTTTGCATTCAGGCTCTCAACACTGCCTATCAAAGCCTCCATCAGATTGTCTTGCAGAGCTGGGAATATTGTCAGGTTAGTGCAACAGCCCTTACCAACTTCGGAGGGTAAGCTTCTATTCGTGCAGCAAAACACACAGCTCTTGAGCATGAAGGGAGCTTAAACTTTTTGAATTCACCAGTTTTTTTGTTTCCACTCTTGTCTCAGACAGTGTGCTCTGACATGCTTAAAATAAGCATTGCAGAATGCCGTGCACAGAAATGAAACCAACAGTTTCGTTTCCCTAATGTATCACCTTATGGTGGAAAGAACGTACATCTGGGTAGGAGGAAAGACAGAAGTGTCACATGCTACCTGAACACAACTGGCCTTGTGCACATTGGTTGAGAAGTGAACAGGCCATATGTTGAATTTCCACTAATTTCTTGGAATCCACATTAAAAATAAGCATAGAAATAAGCGTGTAACAATTACAGATTCAGGCCAGCTGAAGTTAGTGGTGACTTTGCAATAAAGCTGTCTGGACCATGGATGAGTGGGGATGAGAACAGTCTTTGTGCTGCAAAAAGGGGGAACAGGAGAGAGGTGTGTGAGTTGGTAACTGGAGTAGCTCTAGCATTTGGCTAAGAGTTCTATGGTGGCACCTTAATTGTAGCTAAAACCTAAAGCAAGTCAACAGCAGCATACTGCATGGAATGCTGAGCCCCAAACGTGGTTTTTTTAGCCCTCCTTTGTATTGAATCTCACCTGCTTGTGGGAAACCTCACACAACTGGCATCAGCAGAGAGGATCCAGGGTCACTAAAGCAAGTGTCTGGACACATTTAATTTCTGTGAATATTTTCTTCTGAAGGAAGTTTATTTTCCCTCCAGCCACCTTCTTCATAGTGTGGAAGTAATTTTTCCTCCCACCTGAGTACAGTCCTTTTCCACCTGTCTTCTTCCCAACATCTGCCTAAAGTCTCTATCCATGCTTAGACAGGATTTGGCCAACATTTGTTATTAAAGCAGCATTTTGCACTAGCAACTGTGACACATGCAATGCTTTGCTAAGAAGCGAGAGTCTGTTCACTCCTGGAAAGGTAAATCGAGCTGTCAAGAGCAGCATGGGGTGGCACAGCGTGTGCCAGGGATGCCCCCTCCCCACTCGCAGTTTGTGGGAAGACATTCTCGTTCTGATGCTCCATCAGAGTGGGGGTTTGGAAATAGACAGGCAAGCTGTCAAACTACTGGGACATATGTTCATATCTGCACAGACAGTAGCTGTAAGGATTAAAATCATATAATTGGATTAAATAGTAAATGAAGAAAAGTGCTTGCTATTAAAAGCAAATTACTTGTTTCTCTATCACACAAGATACAGAAAGAAAAATCCAATTTTCATTTTCACTACTTTATTTTTATCTAAGATTTACTTTGTTGAAACACTCAGTTTCTTTAGGACATCTTTCGCATGGATTGTCTCCTTGACGTCTCTTTTAAAAAATAAGACACAGAGGTGAACATAAGAACAATTTCATGGTGCTAAATCTTGGGCAGAACATTCACTGATGTGCAGATAGAGGCATGTGTGTCCTTGCTAGTGAGTTCTGATGTCATTGCTAACATGTCTATGCAGCTTTTGAGATTGAGCTGCCTGCTCAGAGAGCGGAGAGAGTTAGTGACTGCTGGAACCTGCTTGTGCCCTTGTAGAAACATGATGGAAACTGATTTCAGAGCTGGTGGGACTCATGCCTAATCCAATGGTGGAGGAGCTGGAGTACTTCTGAAATGTGCACTCACCTAGGCATTGGACTGAAATGTGTTTCTTCAGAAGTACACTGCAGTTTGTACAGCTAGGGTAGTCAGTTTGAAATCTTTTTGTAGTGACTGGAGAGTGATAAGCAAACCTAGGGCAATTAATCTCATTTTGATTTGCTTGTCTAAAACAGGCCAGATAAATCGTGCTTCCAAAAGCCTTGCTTTAGCCACTGACATTTTCATGTCTAAAAGTTAGAGGCAATTAATTCTACCCTCCTTGGCAAGCAGAAGTGCAAAGTGCTAATTTAATAATCTGAGATATTTTAATGAAAAAGGAACCTTGCCTTCAGTCATTGATTAGGCTGGAACAGAAGGGGTTATGCTCTTAATATGAATCTCAAATCAACATAGTTCAGAAGCATTTAACAAACCACACACATCAAAATTTGCTTCAAAGCATATGAGAAAAAGGAGGAAACCCCTTTCCTTCTTACTGAAGTCAAGGGCACAGTTATACCTATTTAAGTGTAAGCTATTACCTCAACAAATTTCTTCTTGTTCCTCTCTTCCCAACTCACTTGTCATTGGATGTATTAGACATGCCATATGCTATGTTACACAGAATATACTTTGCTGTGATAGAGTTAAAGGCACAACAGGAAGAGTAGCTGATGGCTTCACTCATTGACTCACATCCTCTAGAAAGACAGAGAAACTCTTTTTCCTGTCCAGATTGGAAACATCTCTCTGCAGCTAGTAATAGTCTCACAAATGTAATCACCGCCCAGTGATTTTGTAATGATCTAATGTTTCTTCCTGTCATTTCTGTGTCCATTGGTGGTTCCTCTCCTTTGGTGAAGAATGCTGTCAGAAGGTTACCTTTATGGAATTGCCTACCTTTGTGAGGACCTAAACCCTGAGCTCCACAGCAAGACTTCGGCTGAGGAAATGGTGTATGAAATGAGCTCCATTAATAATTCTTCCACAGAGGAAGCACAAGGAAAAACCCTTCTTCAGAGGTGCAGATCTGCTGGCAAGTGCATTTCCTCAGTCTGCTCTAGAGGCAGCAAACACAGCAGAAGGCAGAAGGATAATCTCCTACAGCCTACACAGCAGCCCGCACGGGCAGGGCAGCCATCTCCAGCTCCGCATGCCTGCGAGGGGCTAACAAGAAAAGACACCTACCTGGTTCCATCTTCCTGCAAAAGCATTTGCAAGAACTACAATGATTTGCATATAGCTGGGGACTATGTGGTGCCTATTAGCTCAGTCACGACAGATTTTACCTGTGACAGCGGCATAGGCCCCTTCTTGGAGTCGTCAGAGATTCCTCCTCCCATGGAGTCCATGAGGGTCCCCCCCAGCGACACCAACCGCAAGCCAGTCCAAGGCTACTCCTCGTGCTGGCGGATAGCGAGCTTAGTGCCCCACCAGCAGCCCCTCTCTGACTCGGCCCTGAACGACTACCTTGAACAGAAGCTGGTGGAACTGTATAAACAGTACATCATGGATAACACAGCAAACAGGGCATCCCCAACTCAGATCCTGGCCTCGGAGCTTATCATGACTAATGTGGATCAAATCAGCCTCCAGATATCACGGGAGAGGAATATGGAGACCACTAAGGCCAAGGACATTGTCATTAGCCGCTTCTTACAAATAGCCAGTGGAAAGACGTACTCAGAAATCAGCACACCCAGCCTGCATATTTCCCAGTACAGCCACAGTAATGCATAGTATTTGAGCGTCCGCCATTTGAAGGCTTTTATGTTCTGCAAAGTCAACTTTTAGTTTCTTAAGACATTTTTCTACTTCATGAAAATGCATTTACTATCTACCACTTAAACCTTCCAGTACCTATTAAGTAAGTAAAAATATTTGTACTGTGCAGACCCTGTTGTGGACCAGATGATTTATTTTTTGTTTGGGGTTTCTTCAAGTTTTTCTGCAAAGGCTTATTTCAGTGAACCTCGGACATTAAAAAAGTTCCGCAGGAAAATGACTAAGAGCATATGACACTCTTCCAGGTGCTCGGTTGTTTGCTTTCTCCCCCACATGCTAAAACCAGCACATCTCATTTCAATTTTCCTCTGTCTGGAGTCTGCCATCCTACCCCTGCGTCTGTGTGAAGCAAAGGCTTACATCCACGCAAGCACAGTTATTGCAGAGCCACAGAAATGCAGAATTTAGGATGTCATCTAGTTCATCTCCCCACCCCAAACGGCTTCACTTACAGCATCCCTTACAGGAGTTTTTATGATTTGTTCTTAAAGGTATTGAGAGACAGTCACTTTATAGTTTCTTGTATAGTAAACTTAGTTATTTCATTGGTGTCTTCCTGTTCAAAAGTTACCAGACCTTTCTGTGAAGCAAAACCCGTTTCCAAGCAGACTTCATCAGCAGGAGCACGCATGTGTACTTGTGTGGTTTGCACCAAACTACGCTATTGCAATGAGCGCTGGTGACCTCTGGTCACAGACAGACACCACCTTTGCCAGCTGCTTGCAGACCCACAGCTGTGGAATGGTCATGTTGGGACAGCAATGGTAATGAAGGGGGAAGAGAAAGAAGAATTCACCTTTATTAAGAGAATTGCACATTGAAAAATATGGGCTAATCCAAAGCCCATTTGATGAATGCAAAGAGTTCCTGTGAATGCAGGAGGAAGGCTGAAACGGACTGCTCAGCAGCACAGCTAACTCCTTCTTTTGTTAGGATCATTGCTGTGTACCACAGTTCAAGGTCATTTGAACCTGATATATTTCTAATAGGAAGGTCTTTTTTTTGTAAAGTTTCACTAAGTTTCAAAAAAAGAAGAAGATAAACAATAGCTGCCTTGTGGGGCAAGGATGGTTACCTACTTTGAGTCTGTGAAATGTGTAACACATTGTCAATGCCAACTCATTGTTGGCTGAGTTTCTAAGTATAATATAAATACTAATTTATAATAAATATTCCTAAAATGTTTTCACATTATTGATTTCACGGTGTCCTTTAGCCTTTGTGTTCTTTTATTCATTTTTGTGTAAGGCAGCCTTTATGTATATTTCAAAAACAAATGTAAAGTACTAAACATGTCAGTTCACTCCACTGCTGCTGTCTTTCCAGAGATAACTGGGATAGCTCAGTGTGTTTTCCCGCTTGTGCAATGAAGGAGTATCCAAAAAACAGTTGCCATAAGAACCTTTGATGTGTGAATCCAGAGACTGTACATCTGTTGCCATAGCAGCCTACCCAAATACTATTATTCAGCAATTCAAGATAGATAATTTCTGATACATAATATTCCTAGGCTGTGATTAAATGCAATTTACAAATAGAAAAAGATGCTATTTTTAAGAGAAAATAACACTCACGGCAATGCGTGGGCACACACCTGTGCTCTGCATGCAAAATCCATTACCAATGCCTCTTTCAAACCTTTTGAAACTCTCCCAGAATAAAATGATACACCAGAATCTATGAAAATGGCTTGCAGAGGACAGCAAAACCGAGGAAATACAGTAATTTTCATGTCCTACATAAACAGATTCAGGCTTTTTGAAACATGGGGGCTTTGTTCATGCCTATTGACATTCACATCACTGAATTTTCGTAGCAAAAGATGTAGCAGAAAACAACCCCAGAGTTGAATGCATAAGCCAACCCCCTTGCTGAAAGATCTGGCACCTTCATCAGAGAGCATAATCGATTCTTACACTCAACCCTACTCGCTCTGTAGACCACACACTGCGCAAACAAAACAGCATTTTGTCATCTGTTACTCAGAAATCCAGATCTTGATTTCTCCCCTCAGTGGTTGGGCCATGGCCGAGACCCTCAGGCAGCACCCGCTTGCCATGGCCTCCCTTCTCCCTTCTCCCTTCCCAGCAGGGAAAGCAGCACAGGTGGCTGGGACCGCCTAGCAATGTCGCCTCCTTGAACAGGGTCACCTTATGGCTGCTGTGTCAGGGGGCTGCGATGAGAAGTGGGGGCTCGGCGATCAGAGGACGATGCTCTTGTAGCAGCGCGCTACAGAGTGGTGGAGAAGACAAATCTTAAGCGTACAAAATGATGGCTGGCGCGTACAGAGGACATGTTTGATACTTGCATCCGATAACTCGATCAACGACAAATCATTCCACTCTCACGTAGCTTTCTTCCAAGCAAATTGCATAATATAACCACACCTACTTCCAAGTAAAGGTCTTATTTTGTATTGTCAGGTTGACATTTATGAATTTTATCCATGAAAGGGTCATAATCCTTGCAGAAGCTGATTTATTTCAGGAAGGCAGTTTTCACCACTTCCTCCCCGCATAAGGTTATTTTCTTTTCCCTGCCTGAATATAAATCTCCATTTAATTTTGATCCCTGCAGTGTACCTGCTTCTCACATGAGTTACATAGCAGCCACATCCCATTATCTGAAGCGGTACCAAGCAGCTCTTGGATTTAAAGCAGTTTCTACATAAACAGCGATTTCTTCCTTTCCACTGTGCTCAGCTGAAAGTTCACTTTTATCTCTGCCCTTCCTCCATTTAAAACTAATCTTCCTCAGAACAGGTACCTCTCTAGGTGTGGCTGTCTCATGCTAAATGCACTTGGACAGCAATTAGGCTGCTATTAGCGTGAGTCAGGTTGTTTTCTAAAGCGATTATCATCTTCTCTCTCCCTCTCCCTCCCACCCCTCCTCTTCTGCCTCAGGGTCAAACGTTTAAAGGGAGAGATCTCAATTTTTAGTAGCCCTGTTAAATAACTAATTTTTAGCCACGGGCATATAATTTTTTGATGTGAGCTTATCAAAATGCTGATGGAGTCCTGTGGCTGGGGAGTGTGTGCTGGGAAGGAGAGCTTCAATTCTGCCCTCACAATACTTCCTAATAATACAGCTATTTTAATATGACTAAGATCACTTAAGAAGGCAAAGAAAATTGTAATGAAGATTTCAATAACTCTTTGGTTGATATTTGATGAAGAGTCAAGAAACTAATCTCAGAAGGATACTTTATAACCACATTCAGCATACTCTAGCAGCTTCCTCAGGTGTTTTTTTGCAGAACATTATCACTCATTGCTGATAACATGGTTATAGCACCTCGGAGTTTTGTTGTTTGTATGTAGTGTGACTGTGTCCCCAAGAGTCTGAGCCCATCACCGTGGCAGATGAAGATGACCTGTGTCCTCCAGAAAGGCTGGGTGTGCAGTGTGATGAGAAAAATCCGAAGGGGGGGCAGGAGGAAAGAGAGGGAAAAAGAGGTTGTCAGATTTGTTGCAACCTGTAGTTCCAGCATTTGGGCTTAACCCATTTGCTGGCTCTGATTTCTTGTCAGTACCAAGAAGCCTGGGGCGGGGGGTGTGTGTGGAAGAAAAAGTGATATGAAGTGCAGGCTGGGCTTTGTGCAGAATGAGAAAGTGAGCATTTTGCGTTCTGATAGTTGTGTTCAGATGAAGGCAAAAAGCTAAGCCCTTAAACTGAAATAAAATAAGCTCTGCATTGCTGAACCAAGCCGGGAATATTGCTGGGGTTTCACCTTGGAGAAGTTGCTGCAAGGCAGGAGCAGGCTGGGACCTCCCAGCACCAGTGGGTTTGTTGGAGCACCCTGAGGTTCAGCTCATTCCCTTTCCACTTGCAAGGGCTGGAGCAATGGGGAGTTATTTAGGACTATCCCTTCCCTGAGCTTCTGTTTACCATGGCTTCCTCTTGGAGACAGAACCTTCTGAGGGTGTAACCAGCTGCTGGTATAAATGGCTTGGGCAGGAGGGGGGTAAAGGGACCACCGATTTTATTACCATGTTTATCAATCAGAATTGCTGTAAAATACCTTTGTTACTAGTGATAGACAGGGGAGGCATCCCTTTTTCTTACAGATTCGGGAGGGACAATGACCAATTTAGGGTGATAACCATGTTACAGTGATGACTTACTACAGATTTTAAACTCATAACGAGATATGAAAGGCCTGCTGCACTTCTGCTAATTGGTGAAGTTAGAAACTTGCCACAAATCCAGTTAAATGCAGCCTGTTGGATGCAAAAAGGCAGTTGTGTGCCCATGGCAGCTGGTGGGTGTCCACTTGCTGTCTCCCTGATGTTCGCAGAAGCAAATGCCTCTGACAAACTGATAGGATGACTACAGTCGGAGCTCAGGAGGGGTGGGAATTTCTCCAGCTGCATTAATTACACACAACAGGGACACGCCAGGTGGCTTAAACGGGCTGGTGTAAATGGGCAGGACTGGCCTGTGGTCGGTGGAGCCATGGCAACTAACACAGACCAGGATCTGGCTCCCAAGATGTGCTGGGTAAAATCACCACTGTCCTAGAAAACCATCTACAGTTTAGGAATGTATAGCAAAAAATTACTAACGTGTAAAGGAACAGAATTTTAGGTGAAGACACAATTATTCTGTGCATTGCAGCATTACTTTTGCTTCTGCTGTACCGGGAAGATCTGGCTTGCCATCTCTGCAGCATTAATGCCAACAGGATTAGGGTGACTTTTTTGGAATATTAAGCAGGCTTTCTAAGGGCTGAAGGGAACAATGTTCCCGAGGCTCATTCTCAGACTTTCTTACATCTCTTTCAAAGCAAATGTTGGAGGAACTACCTTGCCTGAAGTGGAAATCCCTCAAGGAATTTTAGCAGTGCCTCATTTTGAATTAAGCTCTGCGCATTACTCAACTCCATGCTGCTTTTCCCCGCAGCATTACCCTCCTGCTTTGTCTTTCCACAAGACTGATCACTGCAGGCTCCTGCT